TATATATATATATATATATATATATATATATATAACCCTACATTCAACCACATACATTTTATAGGTAAAAAATTATCCTTCCAGGTATGGTGTATGAATCGCAGCCGTCATAAACAGTATAAAAGAGACGTAAAAAGGGGTGTTCACTGGGCAAAAGCGTTGATCACTATGCAAGATAACGTTGGTAATGTGACAGCTTTTCAATCAGTGTGTTTATATATATATATATATATATATATATATATATATATATATATATTTCATTAGCCCAATAGCAGGAGGACTTCTACATACAATCAACATCTCAACCCGCCAGGATTCGAACCCACGGCCCACTAGCCCATGACTGTGCATTCCCCGGTCACACATTACAATTGTAAGGGTAAATACCAAGGCAGAGGAACTCGCCTGGTGGTGGAGTAGTGGCAGGACGTCGTGCCTGCGCGTCCGGGTGGGGCGACCCAATGGTACGTAGTGTCTGCTTTGGCCCGCGATGTAGGTCCACGAGCTAACCACGGCATGTGAACCTTGACCAAACCCCGCCCAACAAGTTTTTATGTACGTTAGCTTCCCAGTATCGCAGAGAACACCTTGATATAGGTGTTTGGCGCTACACAACAGGTAAGTGACTTGAATTGAATTGAAACAGTTTATTTAACCAGCAAAAATACAGTTGAAAATAATAATATTGACATGGCTGAGTCAGTTGAGAGCCTAAGCTCTCTTGAAGGCACCGGATATATAATGTACATTTATTTAACAAGTTTACTCATTTTGATATCGAATGAAGAAAATCTTATGAAACTCAAAACATATAACAATGAAATTCTTTATCACTATTATTGCGTATGTAACTCATAAATACAAAAAATATGTGAAATTAAGTAGTTCACAATCCCCCTTATGGACTGAAAATGTCCAAAGGAAGGCCATCAGATTGGTGCTTGCTTTACGGAACCTCAGATACCTAGCAACTGCCTAGCTTATACTACAGACGGGCAAGGGGCGACCGAATCGAAGTGTACTGTATAAAAATATCTCAGAAGGCACTACTCGGTCCAATGTACATACTGTACCTGGAGCTGGCGGACGCCCGCCTACCATGGGGTCACAGCTCAAGGTTGATGAAGCCACAAGTCCAGAAAACAGTGAGGGCAAACTTTTTCGGAGTGAGAATTGTGAACTCTTGAAACAACCTGCCAGAGTGTTGTGATGGCACGTAGTGTGAGTTCATTCAAGGCCAGACTTGACCAACACTGGAGCAAGTTTCGATATATTCAGGAGCCATTTAATGCCTAGTACTTGCCAATAAAGCTAACAGAGACGAGAGTCACGTGACCGACCACCCAAGCGGTTAACGAGCCGATCGCCATCTTTTGAAAAAAATCCGACCGTCAATTCGTCTATTGTCACAGTTCAATCAGGAAGGGTAAAATTCAAGTGAAATCAGGTTAAATTAGGGTTGCCATACGTCCGTATTTTCCCAGATATGTCCTCCATTTAGGTCTCGAAATCTTCATCCGGAAGGAATTTTTAAAATTCTTCAAAAGTCCGGAATTTCAGCTTCCATCATTTTCTCCACGGAAAGAAACATGAAACTGTAATGACGAGAGAAAGAGAGAGACTGTGAGAGAGGGGAGGTGGAAACAGTAGAGATCTTGTTCAGTTTTCGTCAGCTGATAAGTCACGTGTACGCCTGTACGGTGTTGTCAACTTAGCTGCTAGCAGTTTTTGAGGTAACCTGTAGTGCCTTGTACTGCTTTTCCTTGTTCTTCAGCCACGCGTATTATTAATTTTTTTTTTTTATTTAGTGCTATTACAGCCATAAATGAAATGTTGAAAGTATACCATTTTTTTCTTATGGCTTTTTTTACACTGTAGCATTTGTTTTTCTTGTCCTGCATTTAAAGCATTTTAGCAATTTTCAACCATAATCTAGCCACTTTCGCTATGTTATTTACGTGTGTCGACAACTATGACGGTGACCGGTGGTCAGGGCCGGCGCTACCCACTAGGCGAACTAGGCAATCGCCTAGGGCGCCAACATCTGGGGGCGCCACAAATTCAGGGCAAACTTGGATAAAAATAAAAATGAAGGGAAAACTGTGGTGGAGCCGTGGAGGGTCGGAGCGTGCGAGGGTCGGAGCGAGGATTGTTGGAAGGGGAGAACTGTCGAGCAGTGACCTGAAGGCTGACATCTGAGGAACCCTTCTCCCAGGGTCTAGGACAACTGGCCGCCGCCATCTGGCCGCAGCCCAACTGGCCGCGGGAAACTCGCCGCGGCCGACTGGCCGCCATATGGAACTTTTTGTTGACAACCTAACCTAACCTAACCTTTGAGAGCGCAAAAATAGGCGTTTGCAGTTTACCCCCAGTTCGCGGCGGCCAGTCGGCCGCGGCGAGTTTCCCGCGGCCAGTTGGGCTGCGGCCAGATGGCGGCGGCCAGTTGTCCCATTCCCCTTCTCCCAACCCCACCATACCCTCCCCTCCCTTACTGCCAGGGCGGCTGAGCCGTCCCTTCCCTGCCTTTGTCGGGATGAGGCAAGGTTACCTGACCTCTGAAGTTTGACCTCGCATAACATAATCCCACTGAGACTGGCCAGGTGATTGTATTAAGTTTTTAATGTAAATAATTTTTTAATGTGGCTTGGTCAGAGTTGCAATTATTTTTATTCATAACTGTTACAGCTCTCCATTAAGCTTTTTCTATTTATACTTAAGATGTCAATTTAATATATTGTCCGACCAATGACTGGTCACAACTCACAAGTATCTTATTTTGCACTACATGTATATAATAATGATGTAATAATAGTAGGTTATAACTTGCAGGAGGCTGGAGCGAGCTAAATGCTTATGATATGTTATTATTTTTTAAAGATTACCCTAAAATAAAAAAAATAACTAAAAATTGTTTCATTGACATTTACGTCAAGGATTTATTGACTTAATGTACTAACAATAATGGGTTATTTGCATGGATGAAGTCATAAAGCCACAAGATGAAAATTATGTTATCAGTGGTGTTTCGAGAGTTAGAAACAATGTAGTAATGGGTTACTGTACACACATTAGCTTATCAAAACTTTCAAGGGGGCGCACATCTAAAGGCTTGCCTAGGGCGCCAAATCATCTTGCACCGGCCCTGCCGGTGGTTGGCCAGTCTTTAACCTGCAGTGACAGTGTTTGATCTTAGTCTTTGTTGTGGGTTTGTCGCTTGGTGCCACAGCTAGTGCTTACGATTTGTTGTACTTTTCCAGAGCATAAAACGGTCACGGCTGCATCAAGGTTACATAGCGCCAAAGTGTGTGCCAGGAGGGAGAGGGGCGGCGGCGGCACATGATGTCTTCGGGAACGTCCTCTTTTTTTAATGTTCAGATATGGCAACCCTAGGTTAAATGGGAAGATATTGGTAGCATAATGTGTAGTCTTATAGTAGACCCTGCTGCCAAATGGCATCACAAAAATTGTGACCAAGTCCCATGTTCCTGATCTGACTTTCTGCCTCATTTACACAAAATTGCAGGGTCCGACAATCTCAACAACAACAATAACAGCCGTGAAGGTCATTCTACTCAACGCTCTCAAACCAACAAGAACTCTCAACAAGCTCCTCACCACACATCAATTCCCTAGCACTGCACTGTACATTCTACACACACACACAAGGTCACCATCAACCACACCAAAACCTTAGTCATGCACATCAATACCGCCACCACTCTAGTGCAAGCCCCAGCAGTCACAGTGGGTGCCCATCCTCTCCAGCTGGTGCAGTCTGCCAAACTCCTGGGTGTAACTATAGACAACAAACTTGACTGGAAGGCCCATGTAAATAACACAGTCAAGGCAGCCTCGTACCGTCTCTACATGCTACGAAGACTTAGGTCACTTGGGACACCCACACCAGAGCTGAGGACCATCTACAACGCCTTTATTCTCCCCAAACTAACGTATGCGTCACCAGCCTGGTCGTCTTCTCTCAACTCCACCCAACAACGTCAGCTAGAGAAGGTACAGAAAAGGGCCTGCAGAATCATGCTCGGCTCAGAATACTCCGGCTACACCAACGCTCTCTCCACCCTGGAAATGCCATCCCTCAGTGACCTCCACCACCAAGCACTGGAAAGGTTTGGCCGTGGACTACTGCACCACCCTCGCCATCGCCACCTCCTGCCACCTGCAGCCCCCCACCCAACTCGCGCAGTCCGCCACTACAACAAAATTCAGCCCATAAGAGCTCGCATCGATAGATATAAGACCAGCACCATCCCATCTATTGTTAAAATAATAAACAACTCCTGATTTATGTACTGCATAGCCCTGTAAATGTATTCAATGCATATTATATCATTATGTCTAAATTAAATGTAAGTCTGTATATTTTCAGCCACCGGCTGCAACTCTATTAATAAACCGTTTATTATTATTATTATATATATATATATATATATATATATATATATATATATATATATATATATATATATATATATATATATATATATATATATATATATATATATATATATATATATATATATACTGTATATAGAAATATTCCCTCTACCTTGTGCTGTATGGCATATGCGTTATTACTTAGTATTTGGTCGAAACAACATATTTAGTCTCCGGGACAGTACGTGATGGAGATGGAAGACGAATATGCCATTAAACCAACTTATTGTACTATTCTTGTTAATAAAGTTGTTTTTTTCATTTCATGCCAACTGCCAGTTTTAGAAGTATCAGTGTTTATCAGCATCGTGTGAAATGTTTTATGGCGGATGTGAACTACAGAGAAGCACTCTATATTGTTGGAACCTTCAATTGGAATTTAATCTAATTTAAAGCATAAGACTGCAAAATGATAAATTCGAGAATATTTTTAATAATATTTGAACAAATTAATTATTTATGTTATATTTATCTAACGAGTAGGTTAACAGAAGTTAGATATTAGATGTTTTTTGAATTATTATATATACTCGTCATGTTGGAAGAGTTTGTCAACATGGCACAGGGTAGCAGAGGTGTTACTCGAGTGTTGGCAAAATTAAAATCTTCAGTTGAAGAAGGGAGATATTATGAAGCTCATCAGATGTACAGAACGTTGTACTTCAGGTTCGTGTAGTTAGTATATGTTATTACTGGGTCAGTGTGGTATGTAGCATAGGGTGATCCTGAGCTATGGTTTTCCCACTGACAGCTCCAAGAGTTGCGTCACTGGGTCACTGTTAACAATACCGGCTGCTTGTGGAAACTGTATGAAAATATTACAATAGATAAACAAGATTAAATCTCAGGTTTGTAGTATTCCGTAAATATGATTATACTGTAGATGGGTAGATCAAAACTTAAGTGGCAGAGTAAAGTGTGAAAATGGTACCCTATTTTCAAAGGTCAGAGACGAAGATGGTCTAGTGAAGTCTGCATGGTAAGTAAAAAAGATGTTTTGTCGGTCCGACTAATTACCCAAATGTGGCCGCAATTAAGTCAAATAATGGTCCTACATGAATAAATCGGACTGCCAATCACTTCTCGACTAGTATTTGGTGTCACAAAGTAAAAAAAAATTGGAAAACTTACTTTAATCTGAGTTAATAGATCGCGCGCATGTACCGAGGGAGCGAGTAATTACCCAAATGTAGCCGCACCGAAGTCAAATGACGGTCCTACAAGCGTAAATCGGACTGAGAGTCACTTCTCGATTATTATTTGGTGTCATAAAGTCACAAAAAATTGGTAAACTTAATTTAATCTGAGTTGTGTTAGGTTAGGTACATGCACTCGATCTACTTACTCAGATTAGATTAAGTTTACCAATTTTTTGTGACTTCGTGACTCCAAATACCAGTCGAGAAGTGATTGGCAGTCCTATTTATTCTTGTAGGACCATCATTTGACTTCATTGCAGCTACATTTGGGTAATTAGTCGGACCCATGTTTAGTTGATGAAGCGTTGTTATGGTATTATTTTACTTTAGGACATAGCACGCCTGAAAGTTATAAACTAGTGAAACATTTAGGTCTCCTTATTCTCAGCATTTTGAACCCCATATATACATGGCGGAAATGGAAAATAGCGACACAATTGAATATAATTGATTTTACATACTTTTCAGTCTTTGCCTGTGAGGATATGTTATCAGCGTGAAACCGAGTTAATTATGTATCACACATGCACAATATTGACTGACGTCAGCCAGTTGTGACCAATGATGTATTGATATCATCTTCTGATTTTTTTTTACCAATCACATTTGATTTTTTCAAAGGAAGCAGCCTGGGTACGGATTTGAAATTCGATGACCTGTCTGACAATGGCCGTGGTTGAGGTTGGTTGTCAATAGTGCTCCTACGATTATTCGAAGTTTATTGCCGAGTTTTAAGAGAAAGACAATCATTCTATCCAATTCTTATGTATCCCTGGTCCTTCCACTTCTAACTAAGGTATTGTACCAAGATTTGTTTTAGGACTAACACAGAACTTCTCATTTTTATTTATATAGGGAGAAAGAACATTCAGTATTTTAACCGATATGATCCCACCAATTACTAATAATATTGGTTGTTCAAAGTTGGCAGACCTTTGAAGTAGAGGGGAAATGTGGGGTAAAATACTAAAAAGAACACCAAACAAACCTTTGAAAACCTTTCCCAACTTGTAAAAAAGATTAAGAATTGGTTTTGAGCTTATGGGTCCTTCTTTATCTGAACACTGAAAACACCCTACCGTCACACACTAAACACCAATAAAATTTACAAGGTAAGCTTATTATAGTTTTAGGATTTTTATCAGTTACGAAAGGTTAGGTAAGGTTTTCAAAGGTTTGTTTGGTGTTCTTTTGATTATTTTACCCCACAATTTCCCTCTACCTCAAAGCCCTTCCTACATTAAACAACCATGATTGTTGGTAATTGTGGGGGGGGAGGGACCTATCTCCATACTGGCTCATTTGCAACAGAAATGAAGGTCAGATTCATTTGAAGCAACAAAATACAATAGGTAAACCTATTTTTGTAAGCACTGTAGTTTCCATGCTGATTCTAAAACGAACGTTTGCTACGACAACTTTTTATTTTAATTACTGTAAAGCTTTTTTCCTCTATCGACAATCATAAATCAAAAGTAGTTGGCAAGGCATGAAGGATGAAGGAATTTATAGGGTAAAACACGGTGAAACACTGATCATATGACACTAAAATGATGTACATTAAGAAATTCATTATTTATTGTAAATACTCGTTCAAAAAATATGCCAATTCAGCACATGTTGTCTTCTGCCCAGTTTGTTTTCAACTGAACTGGTCATATAAAATAGTACATTTTAATAATGTACCATCTTTTCAACTGTATTTTTGGGTAGATTTATATAAATGTCTTCATTTATTTTCTTTCATTTACATGCACACACCATACTAAAAGAAACGTGAAAGAAATGAATGACCTAAGTGCAAACCTGTACTGTACATGTACTAAATTATTACGGTACAAAAATTGTTATGTCCAGTGCAAATTATAGCTTTTTTATATTCAAATTAATCACTATCTTACAAGAATCCCAGCAATGTAAATTATATTCTCCCAGGTCATTTCACTGTGGATCGTTGTGTTGTGGGGGAAGAGGGACGGTGTGTGAGGGAAGACGACCTCTTGGCCACTCTGTTAAGTCAGCTGGAGCAGTTGAGGAGAGAGATAGACGTGTTAAAGGGGGAGAATGAAGCCCTCAGGGCTGAACTCCTTCAGGTAGGTGTCCTGCCTAGCAAGACACCTGCGAAGGAGGAACAGGCGTGGAGAGTGGTTGCTTCCAAGGGGACTAGGGTCAGACTCAGGAAAGCTGACCAGGGTGTAGAGTGCAGTAACCCCTACCAGGTGTTGGAGGAAGCTGGCAAGGAGGAGAAGAGGCAGGATGAGGGGTAGGATGAGGAAGAGAAGAGGCAGGACGGTGTGGTGCCAGGAGAGAAAAGGGCAGTTGTTCAGACCCTGCCCAGTGGTAAGGTCGTGGTAGTTGGGGACAGCCAGGTGAGGTTCTTAGATAGGACTTTTGTGCAAGAGATAGGAAACATAGGACTAGGGTGTGTTTTCCTGGGGCTGGGATAGGGCATGTAGCTGAGAGGATAGACAGGGTTTTGTCAGGGGAGGGTACCAATCCAGTAGTGTGTCTAAGTGTGGGAGGTAACGACATAGGAAAGGTTAGGAGTGAGGAACTTTTCAAGAGGTGTAGGGAGGCGCTAGGGAAGGTTAGAGATAGGGGAGGGATCCCGATAGTATGTGGTGTTTTGCCTGGAAGGGAAGTTGGTGGTGAATGGCTGTCCAGGGCACTTGCTATAAATTTCCAACTGGAAAAACATTGTGCAAGCAATGGTTGGGCATTCATTGACAACTGGCAACCATTCTATGGCAATGACTACCTGTACAGTCGTGACGGAGTACACTTGTCTCGCGTGGGGGTAAAGACGTTGTCTGCATCCCTGAAGTGTGAAATTGTCACTCCAAAGGGGGGGTTTCTCCAGTAGAGAGAAGTCGGGGTAAATGGGAGTCAAAAAACAAGTAGGTCCTGGGGAGTAAAAGTGGTTACTCAGGACAAGGGGTAAAACAGGACCAGGGAAGGGTAGGTTTAAATGTATACTATACAAACAGTAGGAGCGTTAGAAATAAAATAGACATGCTGAGAGCGGTTGTATGTACCGAGAATAGAGACGTCATAGCAATCACCGAAACTTGGATGAATCTGGCGAGCAAGAACTTTTTATCAGAGTACCACATAGAAGGGTACAACCTTTTTCACAAGGACAGGGAAGGTAGGAAGGGGGAAGGGGTTGCACTCTTCATCAGGGATACATAAAATGTTTTTATTAATACCTGTAATTCAATAAAGGGTGAAATAGGAACCGAGTCTGTGTAGGCAGAAATTGCGGAAGGAAGAGAAAAATAATTATGGGAGTGATTTACAGGCCCCCAAGTCTAGGGAAAGAAGCAGCTCAGCCCATATGGCAGGAAATGAGTAGGGCAGCAAGATACAACAACCTGTACATTATGGGGGATTTCAACTTCAGAAATATTGACTGAGACAACATTGTAGGTGACTGTGAATCTGAAGACTTCCTAGACGCAGTACAGGACAATTTTTTGAAACAACTAATTACAGAACCTACTAGAGGTAACAATATATTAGACCTAGTACAGTATTAACAAATAAAGAAAATATCAGAGATATCACAGTAGGGGAAGAACTAGGGAACAGTGATCACAGAGAAATCAGGTTTACCCTAAATTGGGAAGCGAAAAACAATGACAATATGGTCAGAGTCCCAAACTTTCGATTGGCGGATTATCAGGGGTTAAGAAGGTACCTAGGTGAGGTCGCCTGGGAACAGTCAGGTCAGTCCCCAGTAGGAACGGGTGAGGTCACAGATGACACAACAATTGATCATGACTATAATATATTTACTCGTATACTACGTAAAGCACAAAAACAATATACAGTAGTACCCCGATTTACATGGTCAATTGAACCCATGGGGTACCGTGGAAAGTGAAAACCGCGTAAAGTGAACAACAGAACATATGGGATTAATTCCAATAGAGACTGGCCCGACCCCCAAACTCCACTTTTTCAGACAATACCTACGTTGTAGTAAAAATTACATTTTAATTTTATGATGGTATGCACACACAATTAATAATTAAGAGAAATATCAATAATATTAGTTTTTTTAACACTTAATTAGTAGAAAAGATGGCTGGGCACACGGGGATGGGGGGTTGGTTCCGAGGCAGAGGGCAGATTATTGGCCCTCACCTATATCACTTGTATCAATTGTATCACGGCTTGCAGGGCCTCATTGTCAAACCCCTCAAAGTCCATATAAGTCCATATCCTCACTATCACTGACTTAGGCCGGCTGTGGTGGGTGGCGGGTGAAGAACTCGGTAATGTTTTGATGACTGGGCGACCTTGTGCGCGTCCTGCCCACGCTGCTTCCCGCGTATATGAGTAGATGCACCGCAGAAAGTGAAAGTTCGGTTCTGGCGAGGCACCGCGTAAATGAGAAATCGCGGAAAGTGAAACCGCGTAAAGCGGGGTAATACTGTATACCATACAGAAAAATTAGGTCAA